TGGCCCAGAAATTTCATTTCTTAGAATCTATCTAAAGAAAAGCAAAACAGTATTTGAAAAAGTCATTTGCACTCCTGTGTTATTGAAGCTCTATTCACAGTAGTCAAGATTTGAAAGCAACCCAAGTATCCAAGACCAGATGAGGTGGATAAAGAAATATATACATACATATATAGAGGATATATGTACCTCTACATGGATGAAATAGAGTTGTCATGTTGAGTGAAGTCCATCAGAGGGACAAATGCACAACAATCTCCCTCACATATGTATAAAAAAAACATAGTAAAGGAATTAAAAACATCAAAAACTGAGTCTGCCAAACTCAGGAGGGAAGGGGAACAGGAACATTGGTGAAGGGACACTAACGCTGGTGGACGGTGCAGGGTTGGAAAACTGTATGCGTGAAACACTATTATTAACATTATTTTAAGTCATGCTGCCAAAATAAAATGGAGGGGGGAGAAGAAGCCGGGTGTGTAAGACATGAAAATCAGTTTAGAAAGAGAGAAGACCTGATAAAAGGCTTAAGGGAGAATGGAGTACATTCATTTTTCTATTATTGTATTGAAATGTTTTCAATTTAATTATTTTGTTAATGGTTACAGGAAATATAATTCATTTGATAAATTCTCTCAGACTGACTGTGCTAATAATATAACTAGTATGAAACTTGCTCCAATGAACTACTGACATAATTCTAAATATAACAAATCAGGTATAGAAAAAGTACAACCAAAGAGGAAAAATAAATGCAAATAATACACTATACTATAACACCCTGGGCACAGGAAAAAGAATGTATGAGTCATAAATGTTTACAAACTCATCATTGTAAATAATTATTCTATGCACAGAAATAATGAGAAGGGAATATACCCTGAGCATTGTCAAGTGTGACAAAGAAAAAACACATTAAAAAAGAAAAGAAAGGAAGGAAAGAGGGAGGGAGGGAGGGAGGGAGGAAGGGAGGAGGGAGGGAGGGAGGGAGGGAGGGAGGAAGGAAGGAAGGAAGGAAGGAAGGAAGGAAGGAAGGAAGGAAGGAAGGAAAGATGGCCATGATCAAGAGACTCATTGTCCTCTCTTGGAAGCTATCATAAAATGACACTGCCATAGCCATAATGCAGGACCCAGCACCAGATTGTCTCATTTGCGGTATCCCAGAGGGGGGAAGTGAGGCCCCTCTCCACTACAAGGGACCCAGACCTCATAGCTGAAAACCTCCAGAACTCAACCTCTCCCATGCTCATGGCCGCTTTCCACATGCTCGGGCCGAGCTTCAACCACAGTGAACTTTCTCCTGGACCACTCAGCCATGAAGGTGGCTTCACAATAAGTCATACCTCACACCACTAATATTTCAAGAGTAGCACACCAAATTTGGTGGGGTTTTGTTGGATATTAACCCTAAGTGTTTTAGGCTTCATCAGTGGATTGCCCCTTTTCCTCCTGCCAGAAAAGCTTACAGTGCTCTTGTGAGCATCCCTAATCTCCTGAGTTTATCTTTAACCTTTCCTATGTGTTTTACACCTAATAGTCACTGTTCCCCAAGTCAGTCTTGGTTACTTCTAAGCCAAACTTTCTGGTAATTCTGGCTTTTGTATTTGTAGTGAATTACTTGCTTTTCTATTTTCCCTTTTCATATTTTAACTATAGAGCAATGTTCTTTGCTTAAACACAGAAAGACTTTAATGCTATGCTCCTAACATTAAGGAGTTGATTGATCCTGAAATATATCTATTCCTGGGCATCACTTAATCACTTAACTTCCCGTTAGTCGTTGATTTGCTCAAGCGGGCACCAGTAACCTCTCCATTTCTCCCTGTCGCGTGCTAGTGTAGCCCAATGGCATCTGTTTGCTCTGGGAACATGAAGAGCCTCAAACCGATCTTTCGTGATCTTGACGAAGAAGTCTGACCATCTGGTAGGTGGGCGGCCACGCGGTCTTTTGACATCCCCTGGAATCGGTAACAGCTCTAGTCCAGCGGTCGTCTTTAAATCTCATTACGTGACCAGCCCATCTGATTTTCGATTCTTGATCGTCGACGGATGTCAGAACTCCGGATTCTTTCTCTCATTTGAGTGAAACGTGATATTCCAAGCATAGCTCTTTCTATTCTTCTTTGGGAGACCTGAATAGCGTTCTCATCTTGTTTGCGTAGGGGCCAGGTCTCTGAGGCATATGTTAATGCAGGAAGAACAGTGGAATCAAAGAGATGTGCCCGGAGCCGGAGGTTCATCGTCCTCTTAGCTATTTCTTGGACGTTCTTGAAGGCGTTCCAAGCTGCTCTCTTCCTCCTGCGCAGCTCGGGTGCCAGGTCATTTGTCATGTTGACCTCTCGACCTAGGTACACATAGCTGTTGCATTCGGAGATGGTCGTTCCATTGAGAGCGAATGGGGCGTCAGGAATGAGGCTGTTTCTCATAAACATTGTCTTCGTAAGATTCAGCTGTAGTCCTACCTTTCCACACTCACAGTCAAAGTCGGCCAGCATTTGTGCCGCTTGGTTGATGTTTGGTGTTATTAAAACAATGTCATCAGCAAAGCGGAGGTGATGTAGTTGCCAACCATCTATCTTCACTCCCATTCCTTCCCATTCCAGTCATTCCATGATGTTCTCGAGGGTGGCACTGAAGAGTTTTAGTGAAATGGTATCACCCTGCCGAACCCCTCTCTTGACATCAACGATCACTTCTTTGTAGAATGCTGAGATCCTGGTAGTGAATCCGCAATACAGCTCATGGAGGATCCTGATGTATTGGGCTTGAATGCCCTGATTGGCTAGGGCTTCAATGACTGCTTCCGTCTCAACAGAATCAAAGGCCTTCTTTAAATCAATGAACGTTAAACAGAGCGGCATCTTGAACTCCCGAGAAACCTCAATGAGCTTGGTTATTGTGTGGATATGGTCGATGGTGCTGAATCCTTTGCGGAACCCGGCTTGCTCGCATGGTTGTCCTTCATCTAGTGTTCTGCCAATCCTATTTAGGATGACTCGAGTGAACAACTTGTAGATGACAGACAATAGGCAGATCGGGCGATAGTTGCCAATGTCATGGATGTCTCCCTTCTTGAACAGTAGTACAATCCTGCTGGTTTTCCATTGGGACGGAACCTTGCATTCAGACAGGTAGCGAGTGAAGAGCCGAGCCAGTGTATTGATGAGTACTGACGGCAGGTTCTTCAGGTGTTCAGGTCTGACCTTGTCTGGGCTGGGTGCTGTTTGTTTCTTTACCGATGAAATGGCATGTCAGATTTCAGAAGGGAGAACGTTGGGAACGACATATCCATCCTGTGGAATTTGTTATGTCGGCAAGTGGACATGGCTATCGAAGAGATTTGAGTAGAAGTCATGGATAATCTTCTCCATTGCCATTCTGGAGGATGTGATGGATCCATTAGGACGTCGGAGGGCAGTCATCTTGGTCTTATAGTTGGCGAAGAACAGGCGGGCGTTACGAATACTTTTCCCGGCTTCTGCCGCATCTACCAGTACTTCTGCTCTTCTCTCTTTGAGGTCTTCCTTGATCGCATCTCTGCACTGCTTTGCAAGCTCGGACATTAGCTTGCGGTTGCCTGAGGCATGCGCCAAACCACGCTGGCGAATTAGCTCAAGAGTTTTCGAAGATAGGTGATTTTTTGTGGCTATCTCTCTCTTGGCGTTCCTCGCACATTCATGGAGGTGCTGAACCAGTCAATCGTATTCCTCGTCAATGTTATCAACAATGGCATCTTCCCATGTTGCCTCAATAGTACCAAAGAGTTCCCAGTTGGTGGTCATTCTGGGAGTTCTCTTTTTGAACTTTGCAGCCCTTTCTCCCTGCTCTGTGAAGTAGAATTTTGCACGAAGGAGACGGTGGTTCGATCCCGTTCGAAATTTTGGGACAACAGCGACATCAGTCAGGCAAAACCGTCGATTGAACATGATGTGGTCTATTTCATTGTGGAATCGTCCACCGGGAGACTCCCATGTCCATCGTTTAGATTCTGCCTTCTGGAACTGTGAGTTACCGTGAACGGTCTTGGTCGACATGATGAACTCAGACAGTCTCTCACCCTGTTCGTTCCATTCTAGGCCATGGGTCCCAATGTGAAGTTCTTCAGCTGATCTTCTCGGTCCTATCTTGGCATTAAAATCACCCACAATGATCTTGTAGAAGGTGTGGTCTTCTTTATAGAACTTCTCTAGCTCCATGTAGAACTTCTTGATTTCTCTTTCATCATAATGAGATGTTGGTGTGTAGACAACGAAAATAGAAACTGCAGGCAGTGAACCACATCTATTCAAATGTAAACGTCCGATTCAGGTTGTTAGGCATTCGAATGAATCAATGCTCTTGGCCAAGTTTGTGTTGACAAGGACACCGACACCTCCAGCACCTCTTTTATCACATGTTCCAGGAACAATTCTTCTCCAGTGTCGAAAACAGCATGGTGAGATTCGTGCCTTCTTGTCTCAGTCAGACCAATGATGTCGTACTTGATCATTCGCGCTTGTACCATCAGGTCCTCGATGGATGCATCTGATGCTAGCGTACGCGCACTGAAAGTACAGACGATCATTTTTGTCTTCCTTCATTGTGGCAGCCTAGGTCGGCCTTGAGATTTTGTCGGCCTCTCCTTTCTCATCCTTCTCAGTGCTGCCATGTCAATGAAGCCTTCAGGGTCAGGTGAATGAGACCAGTTGTAGTTACTGGTTTTGGCATATCGAATACACAGCAGATAGCTTGCCAGGCTCTTCCGTGTGGGTGGAATACTCTCGGTAGCTTGCCAGTCTTTCCGAGAGGGATAGAGGCTTTTGGGACGACCTCTAATCACCCTTGTAGGTGTTACCATATTTGAACCCTATCAAATATGGTACAACAATTCCCGAAGATGGGTATTTAGTGTCTTATGATGTGTCATGTGGCCGCAAAGTGGCCACGCGGGTCCGGAAAGTGTCCTGGAGTGTGGCGACGGCTGGGTAGTGGAAGTAGGCCTTGTTTTGCCTAATTCTGACATGGCTTCAAGAAGCTCCTTATCTAAAGAGTCCAGGCTTGCTCTCAATCATATAACATCTTTTCAGCTGAATATCAGTGATGCCTATTTATCAATGACCTTTGGTTACACTGATGATCTAGAGGTGCCTTATTTTATTCCATTTTTTGAAGACCAAGTTAAAGTGAAGAAGGAACATGCAAGGCAGTTCATAAGATTCCTGAAATCTAGTGGAGCTAAAATCTCCCTTCCAGTGATTAAGAGACCCGATATACAAACCTGGGAAACTGGCAAACCAGCTATCAAGACTGCTCTAGATCTTGAAAAACAACTAGACTTGCTTCTCAAAGACCTCAACACAGTGGCTGAGAGGAATGGTGAAGCTGAGGTCAACAACTTCCTGAGAGAATTCTTGATGAAACAAAAAAATAACCTCAGCTACCTGGATTTTCAACTTTCTTATCAGCAGCATATAGAAGAGAAGGCCCAGGAGGAGGCAGAAGCAGAAGCAGAAGCAGAGCGTCAGCAACAATAAAGCGTTTCCAAAAAGCCTGCTAAACACTCCCATTAAAAGACTTAACATCGGAAGCAAACACATTCCTGGGCATCTGTCATAATTATTTGACTCAGGCTCTGGTTTTTGTAGTGCCTAACACCCCAAAAAAGGAGGTCCCACCGTCAGATGGAGATGGACCTGGGGCAAATGACAAAGCTACCCCAGCACCGTAATGGGACAGTCTAGAAATGGTAAATGCCTGGTCTTGTTGCCAGCTGTTATGACTTAAGAGACAGGACTTCCATAGGGAAGGACAAGCTGAACTGACCTGAGGACTTGGTCTGAGCATTTCAGTAAAAGACTTACTGGCTCTCAGAACCCAAAACACTAAGTTTTGGAAACTTTATCTCTTATTGTGTTTATGCAAGTATTGGTAAGAACTAGAATTTAACTGTTTGACTAATTGTTTAACTTATTTTTTTGATATATATATGTATATATATATATGACTAGAGGAAAAGAGAGAAGCAATATAGATATCCCATGGAATCAGAGCATCTCCTTGAGTTTATCTCCCCCAGACAATTCCCTCTACAGTTATGCAGTTCTACACCTCTGGCCCCTTCAGATGTTCTATAAGTAAGCTAGCAGTCTGCACTAAACGCGTCGTTTTCACCATCAGGCTGTGGTCCCAATCTCTCTGTCTCTTCTGGGGAGGCCTGGGGAAGATGAGAGGCTGCTCTCGGCCACCAAATGCACACACATTGTCGCAGCACCCACACATTATTTTAACTCACAGGGTTTAAAGTAGAAGGCAACCAATTTTAGAGGAAAACAGATTTTTACAGATATATATATATATACATATAATATATATTATATATATACACAAGATTTAACCTTCAACAACATGTTAATAACCTCTTATAGAAGGGCTTAATGATCCATGGGTGAATTCAACAATCTTCCCATACTTTCCTCTAAGGAAACTTTCTTGGATCAATTTCAGTGGTTTATTCGTAACAGACAATACAGAATGAATTATGTTGGTTCTGTTTTAGAGCAGGGGTAGGGGATTGGGATGGGAACATCCCAAATAAGATGGTGGGAAGTTGTTATGGTGGTGAGATTGTTGTTTGAATATTAAATACAGTATTGCGAACTACTTTGTATCACTGTTTCACTGTCATCCCATTATTCTTCTATTTACTTGAGCAGGTGCCAGTAATGTCTCCATTAGTCTCAGCCCTGAGATTTTAGCAGCCTCTCCTTATTCGTCTTTCCCAACATATCAGAGGCTCTTTCATGGTCAGGGGAATGAGACCCATTATTATAACCGTTTTTGGCATATCGAACATGCCACGGCTAGCTTTCCAGGTTCTGCCATGAGGACAGGATACTCTCGGTAACTTGCTGGGCTCTCTAGAGGTATATATATTTCTCTATTAAATATGGTGTGGTAATTATAGAAAATGGGTAGAGTGTCTTATGATGTGGTCCAGGAATATGTTCACTCATATGTGAGGCTCGGCCCAAGCATGTGGAAAGCAGCCTGGAGTGTGATGTTGGTTGGGTAGTTGGAGGTTGGCTGCCGAGACTGGATCCCTTGGGGTGGGGAGGGCTCTCACCCAATCCCCCTTGGGCATCCCGAGTGAAAAACAACCTGGCATGGAGTACAGTGGATTGGTTATGTAGGCCTCCTTTTATACTCCCATCTGGGAGGAGCAGCCTTAAGTTCTGGAGAGTGGCTGATGAGGAGATTATCTGGCACCAGCAGGGTATGGCTTGTGGGTGTGATCCCTGGGTCACTGGAGACTGGTGGAAGCAGGCAGAGGTTCTCTGCTCCCAGGTCCCATTGAATTCAGAGTCCAAGGTCACAAAGTTCCGCATTACCTGGGTTCCTTGGAACTTCACTCATATGTGAGGCTCAGCCTGAGTGTGTGGAAAGCGACCTCGAGCGTGACAGTAGTTGGGTAGTGGATGTCAGCTGCTGGGGCTGGGTCTCTTGGAGTGGAGAGGGCTCTCACCTGCCACCGCCCCCCCCCCCCCCCGTGAACTACTTTATAAAAATAAAATTAAAAAAATTTTTAAAAGAAGGGGAGGAAGGAAGGAAGGAAGGAAGGAAGAAGGGAAAGGAGAGAGAAATTAGTGTGAAAAGATGAATAGGGGCAGCAGGGACTTCAATTTTCTTGTTTTTGAATTTCACATTTCTAAGAGGATCAAATTTAATATCTTGCAATGTGAAATATGTAATAAAAATAAGACATCTTATACAAATAAAATATCTTAAATATTGACTATACAAATAAAATATCTTAAACATTGTCATTACAATGTTTTTTTATATTTATGTTTTAGTTTATTATTTCCTGAGTAAAAGCATTTGCTTCTTTTGTTATTCTGTACGAAAGACTAATTGTTCTACAGCTTCCTTAATGTGCTAAAGTGTTTGAAATTTTAAAGAATGCATTGTGTATTTGATGCTAGTAATAAAATAGTGCAATTGTCTGAATGTCACCAAATGAGATTTTTAATATTTTAATGCTCACTTAGAGCAAATTGTGTCTAGATTTTAAACTCTAAAAAAGCCATGAAATAGCTAATTAGAATGGAGTGTAGTTAAATGGCATATTTTCAGCAATAATCGCCTACAAATTTTTCACAGTAACTATGCATTATTTACCAATTGGGAATGCATGGACCAAAGTGCTAGGATGTGTAATTTACATTAAAATTTTTTTTAACACAGATCATTTGATATCATTTACTTAAGCAAGTTAAAATTAACTTCAACTACTAGGAAAGTAGGTTGTCCTAATCAACAAGGCAAATTCCCAAGATTGTCAGCTAATTATTGTGGTTGTTTTGGGTGAACGTAGGATAACATTGGTTTGTGTTTCTCCCTGACTGCAGGGAGCTTAGGTTTATTGGGTTACACCCATCACAGTGCTACCTAGACACTCCCATTCCTCTGTGTTTATCTTTAACCTCTTTTCTGTGATCTCTTTCCCAACTGGTCAATTACCTTTATCCCCAGATCAGACTCTGTTGATTTGTAATTTTAAGTGAAATATTGCTTTTTTCTTCTCCTTATGTCCTTTGCATAGTTTACTTCAGAGCAAAGTCCTTTTTGTTTAGACAAAGGAAGATAGTTAATAATCTGATTTTGCAACTTGGGAGTTAATTGATGCCAAACATATTCACTCTTGGGCATCTATTTTCTCGACTAAGCCTCAGTTGCCCTTAGTTCTTACCACCTCAAAACATTCCCGACAAGGAAATGGATGGACCCAGGGCAAGCTGTGAGCTACCCTGGCATTGAAATGGGCAAGGCCAAGTGTAATAATACTTAACTCTAAGTTAAGAGTATGGTCATGGACAAATTCTGTCATGATCCAAAGAGTAATAACTGGGTTAGGACGCTCTTAGGGTTAGGAAAGACTAATCTGGCCTAAGTACTAGACACTGGGATCTATAGCAAGATGTCCCCGGGAGAGCCACCTTACAAGCTTAATGTATCTCTTACTTTTTCCATACAAAACAACTAGAAAGATTATTTAGAAGTAAGTAAATCTAAGATGGTTATTGGACTAAGGAAAGGACAAACACATCCCTAGGTAGTATTTCACTCTTGACCGAACTCCTGGCTGCAGGAAATTGTCATCTTATCTTAGGAGTGCTTCCCTGGAAGGAAGGGATTTCATATGTTGATTGTATTACCTCACTTGGGTGTAGTTGCTACCCCCAATGCTTGGAGGTTGGGCGTAAGACCAAGGCTGTGAGATGGAAGCTGGAGAGGTTAGCATGGGGGACAGGAGGAGACAGAATTGAGGGGCAGTCTGTGTCTGGAATGTGGAACTTAGTGAGACTGAAACAGGCACATGGGGAAAATGGAATAAATGGCAACTGATCATCAACCAGCTTATTGGCCCTGTTTCCTCCTTCCTGCATTGGGTGGCTGCAGCTGCAGGCTTCGGTGGGGAAGCGGCTCATGGCCACTGAAAGCACATGGTGGGAAAAAAAATCCACGTCGCCACTGGCACTGTGAATCATTTATTTTGTGATCACACAGGTGGAGGGTGATTCAGTTTGGGGTTCACACACAGCAGTGCTCAAGAGTTGACTCCTAACTCTGCATTCAGGGATTACTCCTGGTGGGCTCAGGGAACCATAAGGAATGCCAAGGGTTGAGCGCAGGTGGGCTGCATGCAAGTACCCTACCCACTGTACCATCACTCCAGTTCCAGTTGTCAGCTAATTTTGTAACAGGAAACTGTGGCAGGTTATACATCACAGTTTGAATATCTATACTTAAGCAGTACCCAAATTTTACATAATCACATATAATATACCAGATTGGAGTTTTTATTGACAAATTCCTGGTATGTTGGGAAGTTCTACATGGAGATGGAGAAGTTCTATAAAGAAGACCATATCTTCTACAAGATCATAGTTGGTGATTTTAATGCTAAGATAGGACAGAGAAGATTAGCTGAATAACTCCATATCGGGACCCATGGCCTAGAATGGAACGAACAGGGTGAGAGACTGTCTGAGTTCATCATGTCCACCAAGACCATCCATGGTAAATCAGTTCCAGAAGGCCGAATCTAAATGTTGGACATGGTAGTCTCCCGGTGGACGGTTCCACACGAAATTGACCACATCATATTCAATCGACAGTTTTGCCTGACCGGTTTCACTGTTTTCCAAAGATTCCAAATGGGATCTGACCAACATCTCCCTTGTGCAAAATTTTACTTCACAGAGCAGGGAGAAAAGGCTGCAAAGTTTAAGAAGAAAACTCCCAGAACGACCATCAACTGGGAGCTCTTTGGCACTATTGTGGCAACATGGGAAGATGCCATCGTTGACAACATTGACGAGGAATATGATCGACTGGTTCAGCACCTCCATGATTGTGTGAGGAATGCCAAGAGAGAGATAGCCACAAAAAAAAAGCCTGTCTTTGAAAACTCTTGAACTTATTCAGCAAAGTGGCTTGGCACATGCCTCAGGCAACCACAAACGAATTTATG